CAGGGTTTCTCTGTGTAGTTTTGGTGCCTGTCCTGGATCTCACTCTGTAGACCAGACTGGCCTCGAACTCACAGAGATCTGCCTGGCTCTGCCTCCCAAGAGCTGGGATTAAAGGCGAGCGCCACCACTGCCTGGCTTAACTTTATTCTTTAGAGAAATTTTTTTTTCCAATGGTCAAGATCATTCTGAATTAATTTGCCTGTGGATCAAGACTATGCTGCTTTGGGTCAACTATAAACTCAAGTAGCACATTGGAAGCTCGTCTCAGTCCTCAAAAAGGTGCTTAGCAGGAAAGCCAAAGTGCTCATTCTCCAGGTCCGACAATCCTTGAGTGACTGATCAGACAGTTTGTGCAGTCACTTTTGCAACAAAGACAATTAGCTCTTGAAATGAAGATGGGATGTTTTTTAATTGTCATTCTGGGAATTCTGCCCTGTTGCTGTCTGTAGGGGATCAAACTCTTGAGACTTTATGTGTAAATGCTAATGCACTAATGTTGGCCAGTCATATGGACCTCAGCCAGTTACTTCATAAGCCCTGTCTTTACCAGGTACCTACAACAGTAGTATAGACAATGCGTAGCTTCAGGAGGGAAAAGGAAAACCAGAAAGTTACATGCACAGAATAAAGGAAAAAGAATACAAGGTCTATAGGTACAGCTATGGCACACACGAAGGTGAGTGTGTGGAAAGCCATCGTCATCAGGCTTGCTCCTCAGAGGTGAAGGAACAGACAGCAAACGAAACGTTTACACACCCAGTGAAGTCTGATTCTTTCCGTCTCGCTTCTTAGGCTTTATTTCCTTGCTTTAACGCACTGACTGCAATCTCCAACAAGCGCTCTGCCCTGCTGCCCTTTGCCTTTCTCTTTTCTTTCAACCCCCACCCCACCCCTCTGCTCCCCCATCTTTCTTTTGGAGACAAGTCTCACCAAGCTTGTCTACGAGCCAGCAGCTGGGATTGAGGTGTGCCCCACTGTGACTTAATCTTCCTAACCTCTCTCTAATTAACCCTTATCCATGCTGGTGGCTGCGGGATGTTTACAGACCCTTCAACAGCTCTAAGTTTCTTTCTACTTTGTGTGACTATGTGTGGGTTGGGGGTAAGGAGGGTGGTGGGCTGTTTTTGTTTTCAGAAGGGAAGATATCTATTGATATGATCATGTGATCTTTTCCCCAGACTGTTAACATGGTAGGTTATACACTGATTTACTTTCAAATACTGCACCAGCCAGATAAGCGGCACGGGGTCATGGTGTATTGTTCTCTTCATCCCTGGTTGAATTCAATTTGCTGTTCTGTTGAGGGTTGCTACATTCTCACCATAGAAATCAATCAGCCTACAGTTTTCTTTCTGTGCTGTCTCTGTCTTACTTTGGACACAGGAATGGTGGCTTTATGAAATAAACTGACTAGCTTTCCCTGCCATTTGCTTGCAATGACTGTAAGTTTTCTTCTTTACATATTTGGAAAAAACTCTGGCCCAGGAGAGCTAGCTCTTGAAGTGTTTTAACCACAAATTCCAGTCTTTAACAACTATATGACCTATAACAGCTATATCCCTATGACATTTACTTCATTGCTAGTGAGTTTTTGAAAGTTTGTGGATTTCAGGAATATGGCCCATCTCACCTAAGCTCTTAAAAACTGTTTTCAATCTTCCGATTATTGACCTTTCAAAGACACCTAGAACACAGTTCCTTTTGTTCCTGGTATCAGTAGCCAGTGTCTTCTCTTTTTGACTCTTGTCAATCTTTTTTTGGGGGTGGAGGGGCTAATAATTATTTTAACACAGACTGAAGCATGAGGGTTGGAGGGGCACTCAGAAGAACAAATATGGCTGAAGGTGTGGGTCTCAGCTTGTTTTCCAACAGGAGGAGACAGCTCGGGGAGCGCCTGCCCCTCCTAGAGCAGGACACACTGCCTAAGGAGTCCACAGTAGGCAATCGGCATGAGGGGCTCCTTTCCTTTATGTCCTCACAATTTTCCCTGTCTTCCTATCCTACTTCAGTTCTCCCCAAGACTCTGATCCTCAATCTCATGGGCTGCAGAAGGCTACCAATCCATTTTCGATCATTTCTCTGATGTCTACGACCCTGCCTACTCAAGGACCCACCTCTCACCCTGTCTGCACTAAGGCAGACATGAGACAGTTTGAGTATGAGCACTGGAATAGTGAGGGATTCCAGACCTCAGGGTACCAGCATTTGGGAGATGAGGCACAGCTTCCCACTGTGACCTTCAGCAGCCTCAGGAGTCCCCAGACCTCAGGGCCTTCAACTCGTGGATTCACGGGATTCAAAGAAAAAAAAAAGAGTTTCAGCACTACCCAGTGGTATACAGGAGGTACACAGATTCAGCATGCAGAAGAAAATTAAACCCTTGCTAGTCTTGCTAAATGCTATCTACTTTCCCTTTACAAAGAGCCAAGTGCGGGTTTCCTGGCATCTTCTCTATTGTTTTCTGTAGCTGGCCGTACTGAAATCTGTCTCCATCATTCTCATTTCCTGGAGCTTATCTTGCTCTTCCTTTTGAATTTCTGAAGGTAGAGGTTTAGGCTTTCTTGTCTGACATCTTGTTTCTTTTCTACTTTAAGCATTCTCCACTCCCTCTGATGTTGCTGTGGCAGCAATCCATGAATGCAGACATGCTGCACTCTTACTTTCTAACACACAATAAGCCACTGATCTGCATTATACACAGACATCTGGAAAACAGGAACCAGAAGGGGATTTTTTAAAGATTAGCGTCCAGATACAGAATGAGATATCAAAAAATGCAACTACAATGTGCTGAAAATTCAAATACATAACAATACTTGATTCAGAATGCTATTCAAAGAGAAAACAGGAAGAAAAAGACCTCAACACCATCCTTGAATCCTGCTAACGCATTGCTTTATTACCCTAAACATGAATAAAGGCCATAAATTAGGTACTTATTTGCCTTTTCCATGTAGACTATATTTTAGTATTTAGTATTCAATGATGAAAAGCTGTTAAGGCCAGGAAAGTTGTTGAGAACTACAATCCACGGTCAGACTGATACCTGACCCTCACCTCGGCAGCCAAGTTACCATCACCAAAGCGGAGAAACTAAATACTGCCTGCCTCTTCTTCCACATGCATATGATATGCACATTCACTGAAAACAAAACCCTGTTACATACATTCTGCTTTGTAATTTCTCATTGACATATTATAGATAGAGGCTGAAGAAATGACTCAGGGGTTAAGAGCACTTATTGCTCTTGCAAAAGACTAATACCCACATGGAAGCTGGTAATCATCCATAACTCAGTTGCAAGAAATCTGGTAGCCTTTTCTGGCCTCTGTGAGCACCAGACATGCACATTTACATACACTCAAGCAAAACACTAATACACATTAAATGAAAATAAATCTTTTAAAAAATCATAGGTATCTTTCTGTGTCATAAAAACTCATAACATCATATTTAATAACTGAT